TTTTTCTTCTGGGGGGCGAGCAGATGGGCTTAGTCTGTGGTGGGTGGATGCTGGATAGATGTGTGTTTTGGTGAGTTAGCAAACAGGGCGAGAGCGTTTGCAAGACCTTGAGCCCGTGAAGCAGTGTTTCATGTAGATGAGGATTTGACTCAGAAAAAGGATCTGATGCTTCTTTCTCTGAAATTTCACTATAAATTGCAGTGGCGGTCTTGGTACTGGCACTTCACCTCTGAGCAGATAGCTTTTACCTTATGGAGTGAGGAGATATCACAGGGCATCTGCTGCCTCTGTATTTTTCCTTGGTGGCATCTCCATTAACATGACTTTCTAGGCATCCAGACTGGGGAGTGTGTACCATACAACAGCAGTGTTAAGACCTGTGAAGTCTTTGCGTGGTGCCCTGTGGAGAATGATTATCACATACCCAAGTGAGTGCTCTGTTCTCCTACTCTGCATCGACCCTCCTGAGAAGAGGCTAGCAGTATGCACATTTACTTACTTTTCCTATTGTTTTGTAGGCCAGCATTTTTGCAAGGAGCTGAGAATTTCACCATTCTGGTGAAGAACAACATTTTGTATCCCAAGTTCAACTTCAGCAAGTAAATAGTGTGGGGGCCCTTCCACTGTCTGGGCTCTTGGACAGTAAAGAGGAGCTGGAGGAGTGGAAGAAAATGCAACAGATCTCTCTCTCTGTTCCCCTTCTAGGCGAAACATCCTCCCCAATATCAACTCCACCTACCTCAAGAATTGCATCTATGACTCTCGGACAGATCCCTTCTGCCCTATCTTTCGTTTAGGGAAAATAGTTGAAGCTGCAGGGCAGAACTTCCAGGAAATGGCTGTGGAGGTATTTCGCAGATCCTTCTATTGGGCCTCAGTTGTGTAGAAGAGGAGTGGTAGGTGGTTGTCCCCCTCTGCCTCGTGGCATCAGCCACAGGACACAGAATAGCTGCAGAGGGGTGAGTTACTCTGGCCAGATGGACTAGAGCGAGTTCTGCTTGACAAATACTTGGCTTTGGCTTGTTTGGGTGGGGTGATCTGCAAGGCCCTTCTATAGTAGCAGGACTGTTTGACTGGGACTGGGACATGGGTCAGTAAATCAGGGTCCTGGGTCAGCAGAGAGCCTAGTGCTGGGCTGACTGGGCACTTGCTCACCTTCTCCTCCCCTTGACAGGGTGGAGTCATGGCGCTGCAGATCAACTGGGACTGCAACCTTGACAGAGCTGCATCCCACTGTGTGCCAAAGTACTCCTTCCGCCGCCTGGACAACAAGGACTCTGCTCACACTGTCTCACCTGGCTACAACTTCAGGTAATGTGGCTGTGGAGGGTCACCTGGTGTCCCCGAGGCTCAGTCTGCCACTGGTGTTAGGAAGTGCCTGCGCTCCTACAGCTGCAGGTTCTCCTTGCTGTAAAATGTGGAGAGTTTCTCTGCTGCTGTTAACACAGGGCAGGTCTGATCTTCACTGTGTGCAAACAGCAGCGGAGGGGAAAGGTCAGTGAAGCTCCACTGATTGCATCAGTCTCTTTACATCATCATTTGCATGGCCATTTGGGCCAGCCTTCTGGGGCATGGCAATGTGAAAACTGCTTCAGGGTGTGCTGACAGGGGGAGGTTTGAGAGCACTGGGGCGTGGAGATTGGAGACTAAGCATCTCCTTTACTGTGGACAGGGGAAAAACCAATCTCTAGAAAGTGGCTCTGCACCAGGAGCATCCACCATAAACACACTGTGGCCAGTATGGATAGATCCAGCACCTCCAGTAAAACACCAATGCAGAGCTGGGTAGCTGGTTGTATCCAGACTCAGAGCTGTAATAACAGGGATTGGCCTCTTGCTGAGATCCATTTGTGAGGAAATGTGGCTCAGGGTTATTCTTGCTTTTAGAACCACAAACTCTCAGCACAGGGGATCTCTTTGATGGAACCTGAATGGTTTCACTGAGAAGCTGCTGTCATACAAACACGTGTGTTTGGGAGGTGCCAGGCCTGCAAGTACTGGGGTATTGGGTGAGACTGGCTGGAGGAAATCACAGCCTGGCCGGGATGGGCTCTGAAGCGTTCTTGCTAACTCCAGACCATAGTGCAGCCCCTTACCAATCGTTCCTCTTTTCTTCCACCCTCTTCTCTGCTTCCTCCTGGCTTAGTCATCCGTGCGGTGGAGTAAGTCTGATCTCACTTATTCTCATCCCCCTTCCCTATCACTTGCCTGCGAGTGACATTGTATGGGACAAGGAGCAGCTTTTGTGTGCCAGGTTGAGTGGTGCTGCCTGCTCCCGGCCCTGCCCTCTCGTGGCTACCTGCACTCATGCAGCTTCCTGCTTGCCTCTCTCTGAGAGGGCTGATCCTCATGTGTGGCTGAGTTTCTTCCTGTCTGTCCTTCTGCTTTCTCCCCTTCCTGTGCCTTGCAAGTTTCCTGATTTGGCTTGTGCTAACCGCTATCTCAAATTCGCCTGTTTGGAGCTTTTCTCTTCTGTGTGCTTGCCTGCATTACGTCTTCATCATTTTGGTACTTCTAGAGACAAGCATCATGTTCAGCCCATCCTCTTGGAATGGGGAGCACACCTAAGTGTTGCATGATCAGCAAGCTGATCAACATAAGCAGCCTCAAGATTTTCCAGCTAAGCTCTGACCTATCTTTTCTCTAGGTTTGCAAAATACTTCAGGGATAGTAATGGCACTGAATCACGGACACTTGTCAAAGCTTACGGCATCCGCTTTGATATCATAGTGTTTGGAAAGGTGGGTGACTTAATTCCTGGAGGTCTTGTGGGGAGGGCTTTCAGAGATGCTGAGAAGCACATTGACCCTTGTAACTGTCTTCTAGGCAGGAAAATTTGATGTCATTCCTACCATGATTAACATTGGCTCTGGCTTAGCACTGTTTGGCGTGGTAAGTGACCTATCTGCTCTTGGACTCAGCTGTGGGTTAGTGCTTCACTTGCGAGGATCGTTGTTTTAAACTTTTCCACTGTCCACCAGGCAACGGTGTTGTGTGACGTTGTTGTTCTGTACTGCATGAAGAAGAAATACTACTATCGAGAGAAGAAATACAAATACGTGGAGGATTATGAACTGGTGAGTGTCAGTGAAGGCAAAGTTGCTTCCTTCCCAGTCTGAAGAGATTGAAACAGGATGTAGAGTCTGCATCAGAGATTTTGAGCCACTTCTCTGAGGAAACTTTGTCTTTGTTACAGAAGCTAATTTTTACCTCAAAGCTGCTGCGGAGAAGAGCATTAGAAACAAATATTGTCATGTTTCCTGGGTAACCACTCTTGGAGAGGGAAATGTATGTTCAAGAACTTGTCATGTTCCCACTGCACCTCTTTTTTGGGTTGCAGTCCTTGGCAGTTGCCTTCTGAGAGCCGTAGACAACAGCTCTGTCCCTATCAAATCCTTCCTTTTTGGCTTTGAGGGTTCCTGCTGCTGTGAACAAACTCGTTCAATGGGTTGGTATTTTCTGGGAGGAGTATGCTGACAGCCACAGCTACAGCTCCCTCCAGGACCCAAATGATCTCTTTGGCCAATAGGACTTAGTGATATAGTGGGGTTGTTTGACTGCTACCAAGCACAGAGCTTGGCCCTGCTGCTGTGTTTGCTGGAAGTGTTGCTACAGAAGGTGGATTTCTAAACCAAAAGGCCTTGTGGCACTGGAAAGTAAAGTCAGAGTAGTGCAGAGGGGTTTATGTGAAAGGAAGGGAAAGGAAGAAGCTATTTCTAGTAGAAACCTGTGATCTCTGATCCTTGCAGGGAGTCGGTGAGACATATGGAACAAACTCCTGACCTCCTGTGCTACAGCACAGACTGCTGCTGTGAACGTGACTCTGACCCTGCCGTGAAACCCACCTGCTCTTCCCTGGGGGAACAAACCTGAGAAAGGGACTTTTTCTTCACTACTCTTCACTACTTCGGCTGGCTGGAGCTAACACCCAGAGAGAAGAACTGGGTCTGCTCCTTGGCTGCTGTCCTTCCAGGTTAATTGCACTAAGCAAGAGGGAGAATTGCGCTTTTATGCCAGGCTTCAGCACTGGCTAAGCCTAGGACGGGGACTGCTCTGACATTCTCATTTTGACAGGCCTCCTTTCTGGTAGCAGAGAGCACAGGGTGACAGGCACAGATTCTTCCTTGCAGTGAACATGGCCCCTGCCAGGTCTTCCCTAACCTTGGATGAGCAGCTCTTTGCTGTTGTCAACTCACTTTTCCTTGCCCTGAAGGATTGTCATGCTTAGCTGAGCCTGTACCTACCCTTTAATCATGTCTCCAAGCTCCAGTGGCCACAGACTGAGACAAACCAGTGGCTGGTGCCATTGTGCTGTGGTAAATGGCTCACTGGTTACAGATTATTCTGTTTTTTTTTTTTTTCTGTTTTGTCTCGTTTTTATGGTACTACTTTAAAATTTACTTTCTTTTTAATAAAATATTACCATCTCTCAGCCCTCCTAAGGTCCTGCAAGCTGGGTTTTACTTGTTTATTTTTCCTCAGGGAGAACATGTGAAGGTTAGGGGCAGTGAGAACCGTCTTCATTTTACACAGATACCATTAGAGGAGGGCTATCAAAGCCAGTGCTGCTGTCTGCTTGGCCTCTTGGTTCTCTCAAGAGTGATGCAGTGAGAACAGCTTCTGCTCCACCTTGGATCTCTTAACACCATGTCTGGGTATGTTGCATTAAAAAGGGAAAAGGCTTGAGAGGTGGAGGTCAGGGAGGGTTAGTTGAGCATGGCTCACCTTTTGTTTTAGTCTTTATTTGGCTCCTGGTGCTGAGTGTCTCAACTCAAATGGGATAGAATCAGAGCTCCAGTCTGTACATGTGAATGGCCCAGTTTGGATGATGCAGTGGCTGGAGCTGCTGCGGTCTCATCCTGACCCCAGTAATGGCAGAACACCAACCTTCACTAATGCAGGGAGGTGCCTTCAGGCTCCTCTTACAGCAAGGAGGCTCTCAGAGCTTAATAAAGACCAGTCAAACGGGATAATGGTTCCACTTGATCACTAACTCTGGGTTTGGTTGCATGTCATTTATTTCAACTTGTACAGTGAAGTTTGAACAGCTCTGTGGAAAAACACTTAGTTGTTGGTTGTTTTTTCCTTTCTTCTTAGGTAATATAATTTAAAAGTGGTAAATACACAGTATTTAAACTTGATACACCTGATAAAGTTAAATGCATAATAAAGGGATAGGAATGAAACACAAGCCTTGGTCATTAAACAAACAGTATAAAAATCAGCAATAGTTCAGGACCTTAGAAAAGAAATGGATCAATTGTCTGATAGGTAAGAGAGGACCACCAAGGAAAACTATTCAGACAAGAGGCCTGGTTTCCCCTTAGCACTTTCCTGTGTGCTCAGAGCCAAAATGGCTTAGTACCCAGCATTAAGCCTACAGTCAGCACTGGGCTTGCTTGAAGAGGAAGGGAGCTGGGGAAATCAAGCTAGAGCCCAGTTCCAAGGCACAAGCAAAATGTTTACTTCACTATAAGAAAGAAGCTAGCTCTACTACAAAGGAACAGCCGCTGGGGAACTGAGCACGTTGCTATATACAGCACAGCTTCTCTAACAGGTCATGCAGTTAGACAGCCCTTCCTCACACAGCCACGCTTTATGCTTTCAACAGAACTCATCAGCAAGAACAATTGACATCGAGTTTGTTTCACAGATGTGCGTTTGGCTGCAGCCCGCCCAGAGCTGGCACTGAGAGACAATCCTTTTGGAGCTTGAGGATCCTCCTGAACCGAGCCCATGCTCACTGTAAGACACTGAGCTATGGTAGTGCTTGAGACCCAGTGGCTTTGTGGCTGGGCATCGAGGAACTGGTACAATTTCTTCTGTTCGGAAGCTGCGTTGCACCTGACAAGCCTGTTTGGTAAGTGTAAACTGCCTCACTAGGCACCCGACAAATCACACACCAGAGATACGCAGCACAGAGCATCTCTACAACTCGCCTTTAACAGAAACACACCACACACGTTACTATGCCCCAGCTACAAACAATCACATTCCCTGATTCTTTTTAATTGTTTCTTTTTTTTTTTTTTGGCAGAACAAGTCCATTTGCAGGGTTAGAGGATGCCCCCTCACATACATTCCTGTTTAGGAAGGGGGGAGCAGGCAACTGTAGTAGTGCTGGCACCCAAGTTACCTGTTTGGTTTTGCCATAGCTGAAGCTGCAGGGCTTTGGCATAGCCTCTGAGTAAAAATGGTAGGAAAACAGTGCATGTCTTATGGCTCCAAACTCCATAGTACTGCTCCTAAACCACAAACCATTGTCACTGGCTTTGGAGAGAGACCAGCCCCAAAGTGTTTTGGTAATAAATTGTGGTTTAGGGGGAGCATTAATTCAAGTGATCAAAAGATGTAAGGGCCAGTTTGTGTAGGCACCCGTGCACTTGCTAACGCTGTCCTGGCTTTAACAAAGACCTGTCTTAACCAGGAAGCTGCAGTGGGGAAAAGGACCTTGGCACGCTGCCCAAGGTAAAGGAAGACAAGGGGATGGTCATTTCCTGAAGTGTGGTCAGGGTTAGCAGGCAGAGGTCTTACCATTAACCAAAATACTTGTGTCTCTCCTAGTGTCTTCTTCCTCAGGGCAAAGAATTACTCCTTAGCAGTCCCTTACAGGCTTGGGACATGCAAATCCTCCCCCTCTTTCAGGTACACCGTCACTTAAAACACCTCATTCAAGGTCACACAACCACATCAGACATTGTCAGATCTTACCCCCAAGTCCTATGCTCCATCCACAGAACAGCTGTACTTACCGTGACCCCTTTCCTCAAGCAAACCCTGATTCTTCTCCAGCTCACCCATACTCTGCCACTCTCCAGCTCTGCCCAAGCAAATCTGGACATCAGAATCTCTCCCACCACACAATAGATGATTAGTTTTTTTACAAGCACCACAAAATAATCAGAGTAATCTGACTGAAGGTGAAGGAGCTCTTCATAAGAAACAATCCATGAATTAGGTATACACTTAATTTACTAACAAGCCTCTGATCCACAGGCATTCACAAATTACTGGTAACGAACTTGCAAAAATACATAGCATTGGCCCCAGAATCCAGATTAAGAGTTTGGAAAATTACTACCTAATCTAAGTATTTCATTAAGATCTTAAACTCTAACAAGCCCTAAATCTATACTTAAAAAATAGCATAACTTGTATTATTTTTAATTGTAGTAAACCATGTAATGTACATGGAACTGAAGGATTTTACCCTGAATTTTATATTTCATAATATATCTACCTAGATCAAGTAAAAGACTTAGAAACAAACAGTTGTTAGTGCTTCTCCCACTGTTCAAAACAAACATTCAGCTAAACACCACCTTTTACTCCTGTGTCTGCAGCAAAAATAGTTCAAACTGAACTTAAGCCCTTAAATACCTTTTCCTTTCATACACTGAATAGTCAACTTACCAAGTCCTAATCACACCAAGACCTTGGGAATGGCATTAATTACACTGGGAGGTAATTAACCTCACTTTCTGAGTGTCCCGAAGATGCTGCTTTAGTACAGCTTGGCTCACAAAGGCAGGCATTCTTTAGAAAGCTGGAAAGGTGGCTTTTTGCTTTGTTCCCATGCAGTTAAAAAGATGTCAATTAAAACCAAACCAGAATGACGAGAAATAGATGCAACAACATTTCTGGCAGGCTGTGAACCCTCAAAGTGTAGTTTTACTGTTGTGTATGTCACCTACACGATGGGCCTACAACACCCCTGGGATGCTGGCATCAGCCTCTGGAAACTATTTGGCATTAAAAGCAGTTCCAAACGCATGTTTGTTTGACTGCTTTGTTGGGTTCTTTTTGCTCCACACAAGCTCACCTCTGCTGCCAGCCAGCGCCTTTCCTGTAGGAAGTCAGCAGTGCCAGCGATCGGAGATGCTCGATGTTCACGACAAGCAGTCGGATGTCTGGTAACATGCTGCTATGGAAGCTCTACATCCAGCATTATACTGAGATAGCGCCATGTCATGCTGTGTTCGGTGCAGGCTCTGTTGATGTCGCTCATCCTCAGCTGCACACTTTGTAACGTGCCCTGGACCAAGCTGCTCAACAGAACCATAAAGTAGATGCTCACGAAAGAGGTTCCTCCTCTCCCACGTTGGGCAAGTCGTTGCATTTCAGATTATCTTCACTGCCTTGTTTCCTGCTTTCAAAGGAAACAAAACGGTTGCTGAGTGACTTACAAAAGCCAAAGCAGAGGCACCAGCATCATGGGAGCTTTGGGACCCTGAACATGTGTCTTACCCCTCCCAACTCCCCTGTAACGGGCTGGAAGTGCCATAGAAAGATGCTTTTCAGCCTATTGAAGTAGCAGGATATGTCACATCACGAAACATCATCCCTCAGCAGTTACAGGTCACACAGAAGGCGTGTGAAGATCCCAGCCACAGCCCCACCGAAAGGTTCAAGCCAAACTGCTCAAATTCTCCTGTTCTTTGCAGTGATTTCCAGAGACAATTTCCATTAAGACAAGCTGCAAACGTCATCTGAGGTTGAGGTGAAGCGATGACACTTACGGCAGCAGGTTCCCGGGGGCAGACAACGACCGCTCCTCCCTCCTGCTCCCCTCAAAAGGGTTCCCAAAGGATCGCTTCCGGATCATCGTTTTAACCAAGATCTGCAAGACCAGATTGGAGTTCATCAGGATGCTTTCCTGTCATTCAAGAGCAACAGGAACATGCAACCCTCATGGCCAAGTGATTATGAAAACAAGTGAAAACAAGTCAAAGTTTTCTTGTAACAAAAAAGCAGAAGGAAACATGTTTACAAGTCTGCAGCTGGGCTTTATCCTCTGAAAACCATGGTGCAACTGAACAGGTAGATGACAACCACACTAGCTGTGAGCAGCTGGAAAGAAGAGCAAAGCCAAGTTTGGGAAGGTTTTCTCCCCCCAGAAGTAGGTTTTACTGATTGTTGCATCCAGTGCCTGCAAATCCCCAGTTCCCCGTCATTACCTGGCAGAGGAATTCATTGGCAAGGGAGAAGGGAAGGAAGGAACCGCCACAGTTTTGCCTTAGGCTGCTGGGAACAGAGCGATTGTCAGGGTTCTTCCCAGTCATCCCCCGACTTATTTTGCTGGTGGGAGCAGAGAACAACCAGTGAGCAGCACTGGCCCTGCCTCAGCATGTGCATCCTGCTTTGGGAACCCCTGGCTTCATTTGATACTGCTTCTTATCCTTCTGTGCCTTATTTATCTGCTCACCACAGTGCACCAAGAGCTCTTACACATCGGAAATGCACGTGCCAGTGAGGTCCCACAGGGCAAGTCAAAGCCACGTGAATCTCAGTGTTAATGCCTGCAGTTGGATGCACAAAGATCAGGCACTGGAGGGTAATTCTGAAGAACAAATGCAAATGGGAAGCACAAGCTCTGCCTGGAGGCGGTGTTATTTAAGAGGCAAGAGTCAGTAAAAGCTCATTTGCCCTGAGCTGTGCTAAACACACCTGGATTTAAACAGGGCTGAGGCATCCTCCACTGCATCACAAGAAGTCACCTCCAAACAGGAGAAAGGGGGAAACCCCCTCATCAGTGGTGATCTCATTAGAGTGAGATCTGCTCTTTCAGCTTGAGCAGCACAAGGCACATTTGCATGTTAACATATCTGTGGTTGAAGAGACTCATGTGGGTATCTAAGTGGGAGAGAGCTCCAGAAATGGGTCCAGATGTGGGCACAGCCACAAGACAGAAAAGGGGATTCAAAGGGAGACCTGTACTTCAACAAATCACAGCCTGGGTGTCTACAGGCAGGTAACACTGTGACAGGAACTGTGAATGGTCACTTCTCCAGCATAAGGACATCCAAAGGAATTGTTAGATTTAAAACCCCGAATGATTTCACTTCCCACATAAGGCAGGGTTACGCTGTGGTTCTCACCACCACAGTGGGTTGCAGAGAATAAAAATATGAGCTTGAAAAGAGATGAGTTCACCAAGAATAGCTGCAGGCGGGGGCTAGAGCACACCGTGGCCCAGATAAAAGCTTCATCCCAGGAAGCTCCTGCAGCCCCTAAGGCTGAATGGGCAGAGCAGGGCAGGAGCTCCTTGTGCCTGGCCAAAACACCAGCTCCCAAACACAGGCAGGTCCTGACCAGATGCTCTTTTGCCCTGAGCAAATATAGTGGTATTTAGGCAGCCAGGTCAAGTGTGAGGAGCAGGAACCCACTGACAGGTCCCTTTGGGACCACTCTGAAATACTCTGGCCACCTCCAGCAAAATGCTGAGACCCCATCTCGCAGCACTTGTTTCTGAGAGAGGGAAAGTCTTTGCTCTAATCCTGCCCAATGCTTTTGCCCTTCAGCAGCAACCTCCAGCTGCTTGGGACCATCCTCGGAGGCAGCATGGACCTGGCTGTGCATCCGCAGACCATCATCTCATCATCTCCCTCATACTCACCACAGTGGCCAGGCTGGGGATGTGCTTGACCGAATTCTCCACCTCCTCCTCCGTCACCTCGACGAGGGTGCAGTTCTCATCCTCCGTGGGCAGCAGCTCCGCTCCGTTCTTGGTGACCCAAGGGTGCAACTTCAATTAATAACACAGCCTGTCAGGAACGATTTCCTCTTTTTCAGGACTCCAACAACACAAGCCTGGCAAACGCATCTCCTCGCCCAAGCTATGGCCCTTAACGTGCTCCTGAAGGACCAGGGAGCAGGGGAGAGATGTGCCGCCTCACTGGTGAGCCAGCTCACCCCAGCACCACCAGGAGCAGAAAATGCTGTGGTGTGGCTCATCTAGAGCCAAAGCTGGCCCCATCTACACAACTGGTTACCTACTGCACTGAGTGGGTTTTAGGGAAGAAGACCTATTTTCACTCTCATCTGTAAGATGAGAGCGACATGGTCTAACATCACTGCAAGGGAAGTTGGAACTAGATGATCTTAAGGTTCATCTTAAGGCCCTTTCCAACCCTAACTATTCTATGATTCTGTGACAATGCCAAGAGTGATTTATTCTGGACCATACGTATGAGCCATAGTGATGGGGAGGACCCACCAAGCCCTAGTCTTGGACCTGAATTAATCCACGACAGAAGGCTGAAGCTCCTCTTTCTCCTTGCCCACACACCAGGCGTCCGGGGCAGCTGCAGGAGGAGCACAGAATGGTTCCACAATTCCCCCACAATCCTTTCTCCCTACCTTAGTCTCCATTTTCTCAGCTTCTCGCCCCTTCCAGGCTCTCGCAGGGGCACAGGACCAGAAATCTCCTACGAAAGGCTGTTGCACAGTACTTTCCTGGTAGCAGAGGAAATACTGTGCTTAGGGGATTTCCTTTTGCCTGTGACTTCTCTAGGCACCAAAGGTCCCAAAGCTGAGCAGGTCCCGGAGCAGGGGAAGGAGCTGGGACTTACCTGCCCAGGGACCTGGGCACAGGGGGAGGACCTAGCCTGGCGCGATCAAACTGACTCCCAAAAAGAGACGAGTAAGGACAACCCAACAGAAGTGAAGCCACAGCCAACACCAGGGGGCTGGGTCAATACCTTGATTTCTGGGACCGAAATCCTGGATTCGGGATTTTTATCCAGCATCCGTGTGATCAAATCCTTCAAGAAGTCTGTAACTTCTGGCCTGGGGAAAGGAGAGGAGAGAGATGAGATGGGGAAGGGGATGGGTGCTGCAAAATATCCCCTTCGTGTGCAACCTGAACCAAGGTTCCATATGTACAGGGCTGGGAGAGCCCAACACCACTTCCACCCAGGCTAAAACCCAAGAGGCAGCAACTGCTGAGGTTATTCTGTTCCCTCAAACGCCTCTGCAGCTTCAGTCACTCCTTCAGCTGCAAAGCAAGAGATGCTGCCTTCATGTTTAATGCAAAGGAAGTTTTCCAGGGCCAACAGAAGGGCTCAGAGCCTGAGTTTTGCAAACCCACAGCCCCGCAGGCCCAGCTCCACCCAGGCAGCTCAGAAATGGCTCAAATGAGCTTTAAAATAAGGGCTGGGGCGTGGTTTATTGAGCACTTACTGGTCTGGGAACTCCAACGTTTGGGTCTTGATTTTATTGTGTAAACTGAGGATCCTTTCATCCATAAAAGGGCACTGCCATGAAGAATAAAGCAATGAGAAAAGCAATGACCTCTGATGAGAGGCAGCAGTGGGGCAGCCAGTTGAGCATTGGGATCTCATAGTGTTTGAAGGAGGGTTATGGGGAAATACCAGAAGATTTCCTGTTACGTCAATGTCTTCTTTTAAACACAATGAAAGTAACATTGGAATAAAACGCTCAAACAGGAGTGCAGATCCCACCACATATCTGGTACATGGGAGACACACACCAACCACCCACAGCACTGAAAACAGTCTCATTACCTGCCCAAACACGAAGCAGTACAGCGTGATCCCCATGGCCCAGACATCCAAAGCCTGCAGAGGGAAGGAAGCACAGTTAGATCTGCAGCAGACAGTGCGTGAACAGAAGACCAGTCCAAAAACCCTCAAACTGTTATTAAATACCTTTCCAGAGAAGATTTTCCTGGTTTCCGAGAGCGTCTCCGGGGCCATGAAGGCAGGGGTGCCCACTGTGTTGGTTAAGAGGGCATCAGCTCCCTTGAACTCATTGCTGACTCCGAAGTCAGCAATCTTGATGTGCCCATCTTCCCCCACGAGGAGGTTGGAAGGTTTGATATCCCGGTGGATTATCTTTTGATAGTGCACTGCAGCCAGAGGAGAAACAAGGGATTCAGCAGCAGCACTGCTCTGCAGCAAAGGAGCCACAAAGCCTTTCTGCTAACACCATGACCAGCTCCAGCTTCAAAAACCCGTGTGCAGAAGCATGTGCCACCAGAAAGGGCACTGCACAGCAGCAGAAAGTGCAGTCCCTAGAAAAGAATAACAGTAAGAAATACCATCCTTTCGGCAGACACTTACAGTATTCAATGCCCTTGATCAGATCCTGGAAGTAGAACCGAGCCTGGTCCTCACTGAGAGGTTTCAGGGTTGGGATTTCCATCACGGGGCTGCAAAGGCAACAGAGAATAGACCTCGATCCCAACCCATATGTGCCAAAACAGGTCTCAGAGGCTTTACTACCATCTGTTGACAGCACACAGCCCTGAAGGCAAGCACAGGGTGTACAAAGCTGTGACCAGGTTGGGGAGATGTGACCCAAACCCATAGGAGACCCACCATGAACCTCCCCATCTCCTCTGTGTCCTGCAGCAGCCTCAGGTGGCCAAGCTGTGCCACCACCAAACCCACCTTCTGTTCATGCTTTAATAGGTTTAAATCTGGAATCCAATACTCACCCTTGCTTCACCAGTTCAAACACTGGAACACAAAAGAGAAGGTGATTACTGATCATGTCCAGGTTAGAGCTCCTACGAGCACAATCTCAGCACAAAGCAATTATTTTTATGACAAAAATGCTAAAAATACTGGTTTTTTTTTAAACAAGGAGATGTCACCTCATGTAAGGCACGTGGTGTTTTGGTTGCTCCCATTTTCAGTTGAGGGGATGCTGCCAACTACCTCATCAGTGCTGCAGCTTCAGCCTCATGGAAGTGGCCCACTAAACCCCCCAGTTTGCCTGCAAAGGCCCAAGCAAACCCCTGCACTTGGCCATGAAGGCATCACACGCTCCTCTGCTGGCAGAGGCTGAACATAAGTGATAGAAAAGAAGCACCTCCTCCAAAAGTGTGTGTATTTGCATCAAGCAAACCACTGCAGCCTGCAAGAGAGGTTGGGAAGTGGCTCATTTGGACCGTGGATAACTAACACGCGCTTTGTTCTCGAAGCCAAAGAAATGAAGTCACTTTCTAGCAGCCTGAGAACATGACACTGGTGCCTCCCATGGCCAAGCAAGCCCTGATGTCCAGTTAAAGCCTACAAACACTTCAGTCTCCTTTCTGAACCCAGACTGGATCCCATTTTCTCTGACCATTAGAGGGAATTAACTCCTCTGGCACATCCAGGCCACACCAGAGAGACCCAACCCCAAAACAGTCACCCCACAACACAAGAGCATCTTTTTGCCCTGCCAAACCCCATCCCACTGACACCCCATGAGCACTGCAGGGCAGTGGCCAGTTACCCATGTACAGGTGGTCCTCACTGGGGTCATCCAAGACCTGCCAAAAGAAGCAGAAAGGCAATTAAACAGCCCCCAAAATCCTTGCAAATTAAAACATGGTGGTTTTTTATTTAGCAGCCATCTCAGTTCTGCACCATCTGCACCATTAGCACCGTCTGCTAATCTCTGAGCTTCTACCCACGAGGGGTAGGGAAAATACCCAAGAGGATGGAGATAGAGCTGTACTTTAAGGAAGTAAATATTTAAAACACACAGGAAGCATCATCTGATTCACGAGCCAAATCAACTCCAGCCTGCACATGCTTAGATCTTGATGGACGTGCAGGCAGTGGGTGGAGGGCAGGGTGGCTGCACCACAGAACCCACAGAAACACCAGCTCCTCCTCAAAACCCTTCTGAGCACTTTGTTTTCCCCAGGAAAGTGACATTTTTCTGCATTTCCCTTTCTGGGCAGGGAAGAAAAAATCCTCTTTTGGGAGATGAGAATAAAAAGCCCTTTTAAACCAGGGAAAACAGGAGTCTCCCATAGGCAGGACATGCCAAGGCCATCCCAGCCCCTCTGCCCAAGGCCATCCCCGCAGCATCCCGGCTCCTTCACACTCAAGGTGGACTTTAGAAGGGGCTGGCCAATGCTCACCTCCACCAGCTTCACCACGTTGGGGTGGTCCAGCTTCTTCAGGATGGCAATCTCCTGGTAGACCTGTTCAATGGGCCCTTTGGGCTGCAGGCAGCCCTCGGAAGCAGCTTTGGCTCCGCGGGGCGGCGGGCGGCCTGTGAGAAAGGCAAAGATGTGGTGTCCATCTGGGAATGAACCTCCCAGGTCCTTAAAGCACCCCACAACCCAAAGCTTTGATGCCACTTACGGGGAAAGCCTGCTTGCCTCATCAGCTTCTTTTTGGAGAGAACCTTCATTGCCTGCAAGAGGGGAAAGAACATGGGAACTGGGGCAAAGCAAAGATAAAACAGGGCTGGGGGATGCGGCTAGCATGGAGCCAAGCAGGGAGTCAGCAGAGGGGATCCATCCTCATCCCACTTGCCTCTCTGTGGGCTCTGGGAACATGCACTACTCACATAGTAGGTGTTATCATCCTCATTGTAGGCCAGCTTCACCACCCCATAGGAGCCCTAGAAAGGGGCAAAGCTTTTAATTAATATTAAAGGGAGGAATTTATTAATAATAGTTTTAAAGTAATAATAATATTAATAAGAATAATTAATAATAATTTTAAAGATAAATACAATTCCATCAGCACCATCCCAAACGCCCCCATCCCACCCCAAACCCAGCCCATATTCACCTTCCCAATCTCATCCTTCAGCTTGTACTGGTTGAGCTGCACACAGTCCTGCGGGGAGAGAAAAGGGGGATCTGACATGAGCCACGAAACCACTTGCATTCACTTTACTCCTTTGCTCTTTACTCTCCAGTAAAACTCTGTGCAAACCCACACCCTGCTCTGCTCGGGGCTGGGCAGCTTTGATCCCTGAGCCATGAGCACCAGCCACGTGTTGGTGTGTTTATAGGCAGCTAATTGTGAGTGTTAACAGCCCGGCAGGCAATATTGTCTGCTCATGTGGAACAGGAGTGCACCAGGGGCACGTGGTGGTGGGGAGAGCCCTGGGGCTTTAATGCCAGCGACTTGGTGCTGATTATTTCTATTTCTTATGGGCAAAGCAGTTGCTCGCTGCCTGTTTCCTGGCAGCACTGGCAGGCTGGGGGCAGGCAGGGCCCTTTTCTCTTTAGACCTCTGTGGGTTTTTCTCTTTTCTTTTTAACTGGGAGATGAGGAAAATCACAGTGTGCCAACAGCATCCCCAAAACACAGCCTTGGTGCCATCTGCAACAGGCACAAAGTGTGGTGAGCTGTTGGGTCCCACCTCCCCAGGGCTGTCTTTATAGCCCAGGATGGAGCAGGACGTCCCACCGCCACCCACCACAAGATGCCATGGGGTTTGATCCCGAAAAACCAACCAAGAAGGAATGCCACAGGGGAACAAACACGTGTACAAGTGTTCGTCCCCCCTCACCTGCAGCCCCGTGATGGACACGCGGTTCGATTCCACTGTTGGCCGCCGCGGCAGCCGTGGGGAGGAGTGTGGGGACGTCACTGGGGAGTACGGCAGGGACGGGTAGATGAAGCGCTCATTGGTGCTATCGCTGCTCCCGGGGGAGCGGGCCGGCTGCGACCGCTCCTGCAGGGACAGCTTTCGGCCGGAGAGGTGCAGCTTCGCCCTGGGCTCCTGGCTGTCCCCAAAGCCCTCGCTACCGGACACGTTCATCTCCTCCTCCTCGCTCACGCTCCCCGTTGTGTCATACTCGGTCACCACGATGAGCGAGGCCATGACGAGACTGTGGGGGCTCAGCGCCGGGGGGTTCCGAGGCGCCCCAGGCACGCGGTGGCCGCAGCCTCTGTCACAGCAGAGGGGCTGCAGGGTGGGAGAGCTGCTGGGGATGCATGATGGCATGGTGCGACCAACGGCCTCATCCTGGCCGTGCTGGGACCTGCAAACACACAGCAGCTCAGTGGGCTCCCCTGGAGAGCAGGATTTCCTCCCACGGGTTGTTATTCTATGGATTGATTAATTTATTCATCCATAAAGCCAAGGGCAGCAGCAGGATGGCACCCCTGTGTGCCCACCCTGCCATGGGGCAGACCCCAGGCAGGGACCAGCCTCAGCCCCAAGGCTGCCACCACTGCTCCTTTCACTCCCTTTATTTAAACACGCCAGAGAATAACAGTCCAGTAATTTCTGCTACAAAAATACCCTAAAGGGGTATTTTACAGGATCAGGATGCAGCCCTACACTACACTGGCATAAATACCACTTGGTTCCCTGCTTTCCTGCTCAGTTCTACAGTGAGAGCAGGCAAATCTCTGCCAAACACCCCCTAAACAATGCAGTTTATGAGTACAAGGACCCACTTACCACGTGTGGGGTGCAGGATCAGCCCCCTGGGCTCACTGCCTCCTCCTGCAGCCTGTCATTGCCAGTGATTTCTCTTCCTTGCTCTGGGTTCCCTACGGTCTTCTGTGCAAAACTCAGGTTCCTGAACCTTGAGATACAAGAGAAACAATTCAGTGAGCCACAAAGAAGACTTACAGATTCTCAAATACTTCAACAGCAATTCAAGAAGGGTAGGAAACGGTGTGGATTCACACACCCTGAACGTCCTGCTGCAGCTGGGGCACTCTGACGCTTGGCTGGTTGTGAGCAATGGCTCTGCCCTGCCACGGTGCCGGGGCTGGTTTTAATTTCTAGGTTAACGAGTTTCTGCAGAAGCAAGTGAAAAAAAACCATCCCAAAACACAGCCCAGGAGCAGGAACAAGGCTTGAGGCGTTTTCCTGCCTGGTTCCCACACCTCAGCGAGGCGGGCAGTTAAAATTAGCTCCACTCATCTCCATTGAAGTTTCTGTGATGCACCCGCAGCACAAGCACTCTGAATCAGCCCCGCAGAAATCACGGGTCAAGTGCAGAAATCAAACCCTCTCCCCCTTCCTCAAGGCTCCACAATGGCCTAATTGCTGTTTTCAACACCAATCCATAAACCGGAGGCTTTTCTGCCCGAGTGGGATCAGCCTGGGGCTGAAGCCGACCCAGCACCGCTTGCTGTTTCGAGGTGCAGAGACACGCAAGGGATGGGGAGGCTATAAATAAGCCAACGAACAGCAACAAGGACAAACTATTCCAGAAACGCCGCGTTTCACAAGGCTGAATCCGCTCCCAGTTGGAGCTTTGCTGGGCAGGAGAGCCGGGAGCTCCTTGTCTTGGGCATTGTGGCTGCAAAATCCCCTCCCTGGTGCTGCTGGCAGCCACGGCAGCATGTTTTACTGCACTCCCCAAATGGATTAAAACAAACAGGCAGCTTGCCCCGTTCACCCCGAACCCTCCGGGATGCATCTCGAGGCCAGTTGCCATTTGCCTGGCTTGCTTCAGGCACGCTGCCAGCAGACACATATAAATAGCTGTCCCCCGAAGCCGGAGCTGATCCAGAATGCCATGCCATGTGCCCTCACCGTGTGCCACAACCGCACCTAAAAAGGCAGCTGATGGATGAGGGCACCCCAGGAGCATCGCTGGTTGCAACACTGGTCCCCAATGGTGGTACAGCACGGGTGGGCATCCTCCCTGCATCCGGATTTCCAAGGGTTCATGCTGAACTTTGCCAGGCTAAACCAACACTGAGTTATGAAGCCTCTGCCACACTTGAGAGCCTAGCGTGCCCTGGCCAGCATTGGCTTGACCAGGATAAACATATCAAGGCTGATGAGTTGAACCAGGCTCCCCCAGACTCTCTAAACAGACTAAAAGTCATCCAAGCACCATCACAGTATCAGCAAGGGTAGAAAATCCAGGGACTTCTTCCCTTGGTGTGTGTGCAAAGGGACCAAGCATGGGGTTTTGCAGAGATTGGCCTGTGAGATGATACCTTCCCCTAAAGAAACCCAAACGTGGGATCATAGAATCATAGATCCCACCGTTGAACATGGCCCCATGGGATGTGGGACAACTGCTAATGGTAATGCAACCTTAACAAGCATACGGCGAGGCTGAGGAGGAGAAGAGCTGCATTCCCATCCAAAGGGAAAACCGAAACAGCTGGAATGAGGGGAATAAACCTAAAGAGGGGAAATACAGCCCAGAGGCCTTGGCTTCACCAACCCACTCGGTTTGCCCAGGGAAAAGTGGCACATTCTGGTATGAACTCCTGCAGATCCTTATGTAAAAGCAAGCAGCACATGCCCACAAAATCCTCAGGAACTCGAACAGCCTGGTGTATAGGAATGATTTATCGGCACGGCTTTTGGCTGCAATCCACACATAACCCATAGCGGCTGCGGCAGGATTATCGAAGCAATCAGTCTCGCATCTAATTCAGCAAGGAGAGGGATATTAAAATGAAAAGAGCTCTGTGAAACCCGGGCTCTCCCTCTCGTTCAGCGTCCATGCGGCTCAGTGGAAACGAATGGGAGTGAAATCAGCCCCCGTGAGAGAGAAGTGATTTTGACAGCCCCCTCCTGCCACCCCAGCTCTGCTGTGAGCATGTGGTCCCTGCGTGGTCCCTGCTGGGATGCACCCACCTCCGGATGGGATCACACTGCCTGATTTCAGGAGGGAAGAGGATGGCACCTTGCAGCCAGCCACTGGCTGCACAGATTTAAATGGGAGCATACGGATGCATCGGCCTGTCCTTCCCTCCCTGGAGCTGTTTCTCTACCCCAGTGCAGGGTGAGCAATGGCAGGGTGCCCCCAGCTCCTGCATGCTTGCCTTCCCCTGCCATACTTCCCTCCAGCAAGGCCACAGTGTCAGGGTCAGACCCTCCTATGGCAATATGACTGGGAGGCAGCTCCAGCAGTGACACCTCCCTCCATCCTTCCATGGGGGTCAGCTTATGCACTGCAAAACCAAGCTGTTTGTAACAAAACTGAACACAAACTACCTAAACCAAGGCTGGGTTTGCTCACAGAGGATCCTCCCCATGCTGCCACCCAAGGTCTGTGGTTAACAGTTAACCATGGCCAGCGCATGGGGCAGTTATCACCCTTGCTGGGCAGAGTCCAGGGGCTATTTTGCTATCCCTGTGGTCACTGTCAGCGGTGGAAGTGCCAGTGCCAAGAGTGGTGTCATCTGCAGCAAATGGGGGCATCGATCACAGTTTCCCTTCCTACGGGCGAGCGCAGATCTTGCCAAAAATATATTAGTCACTGTAGTATACAAAGACCATATGCATCCCCGCCTGACTTCTAATGGAAAAATATCTCTCATCAGCTTCTCTAGAAGTCTGAGGGCACCCAAACTAATGAGATACTCGAAACAAACACACAGCTGCCATCGACACCAGGTCTCTGTGCCCAGGCAGCAAAGGTTTTCATTGCCCCTGGGGTGAACAGAAGAGCCTCCTGCGCTGCCTGGCCCATCCAATGCAGTGGAAAGGATTGGAGACAAAATGCAAAGCCAAGCTGGTAGCACTGGCACAGCACAAAGCCCAGTGGAGGGCTTCAGTAGGAGTCAAAACACATCCTTACCAAGATTATAAGAAATCTTGATGACAATGCCTGATACTTCTCAAGCAATGAGTACCCCCAAACAAGAGTGTAAGCTCAGGACATGGTGTTGAGCACAGGCCAGGATGCACTCAGGAAACCACCATCGCCTTGTCCAGCATCCCAGCTTTCCTGGAAACAACAGCTCCAGCTACAGTACCCACAAGAAAGGAAATGAGAGCAGCTCTGTGCTTTGTGAACACCACTTAATAGACATTAGGGCTGAGCTGAAAGCAAAGTCTCCTCCAAATTACCTCCCCAGTCTGAAAACAGCCACCTTCCCTGGAACAGCGCTGGTCGATCAATCCCCTCGCAGTGCACTCACAGATGGGTGGCTGCTTTTCCTAAAACTAAGTGCTCACAGAGAGGGGCCAGGAGAGGGAATAGGCTCCTTCTCCCAGGAGAGGGGCTACCTCTCCATTTAGGGGCCATGAACGAAGCTCCAGCACCCACAGCCACCACAAATGACTCTCAGCACAGTTCTCTCTGCCCTGAGGACAACCTGGTCCTGTCCCCAGGGATGGTTTCTGCTCCCATAGCATCACACAGCCGTGTGGTCACCCCATAGCTCCATCGCAGCAGCTTCCTGCGGTCATCCCGCTGCTGCTCTTGGTCTCTACTTTTACCTTCACGCACCTTATGCTCTGTGCCGTGCACGTGGCCACAGGGCTGCGTCCCACCTCCTAACCACGCTCAGGCACTCACAGCAACAAAACCGGTGGCTTCTCCTAACAAGATCTGTCCCCTGCACGCGGTCACTCCACCAACTCCATCCCCTCCATTGTCTCCTGACCTCTCATTGCTCCTTGACTTTAAAAATCCCCTCCTTTTCCCAACTCCACGGCCTAACTCTCCCGGTGCCCCCACTCCAAGCCCGCACCTCCCCGGTCGGGAGCCCCATAGGGTTCTGCAGGTCGCCTGATGTCACAGGGACAGGCACCACCCTGTCACATCCCCAGCCCGCGGATGCTGACAGCCCACCGGGTACCACCGGCATAGGAAAGGCCAGCGGGATGCTGCCGGGCCCGGCCGGCCGCGGCGCAGCAACCCGAAGAGGGACGGGGAGATGCGAGCACGGATCCCGCCCCGCCGGGATGCCCGCACAGGCCCCTGCGAGCCCCGCTGCAAGGAGCTGCCGCTCCCGGCTCGCAGCGCATCCCCGGCCCGGCCGCCCACACCCGCCGGTGCCGGTGCCTCCGGGCGCGGCTTTGTCTCCGCAGCCGCAGCCCCGGCCGAGCCCGCCCCGGCCTCCCCGCCCGCACCCGCGGCCACCGACCTGGCGGGACGCTCCGCTCCGCCGCCCGGGGGAGCGGCCCCGAGGACCCGGAGCCGCCTTTGCTTTCGGTTCCGCTCCGGCGGTGGTGGCGGCGGCAGCGAGGGAAGGAGGGAGGGATGGATAGAAGGAAGGAGAGAGGGAGGGAGGAGGGAGGGAGGCCCCGCTCCGCCCCGGGGAAGGGGAGGTTTCCCCCCGGGCAGCCGCATCCTGCCCGCCCGCCCCTAAAGCCACTCTTTGGGGTGGGTGTTTTTGTTATGGTTTGGGGCTTTTAGGATTTTTTTGCTTTGTTTTAGTATTTTACCCTCCTCCGACCGCGGCCCCGCCTTTACCGCGCAGCGCAGCCTGGGGGGGGGGGGGGGGGGTATGTGTGTGGTGTGCTCCGGCCGGTCCCACTCCTCCCCGGTGTCCGGCAAACAAGCCCCAGCCTCCTCCCGCCGCTCCCGGCCGGAGCTTCTTTCCCTTTTGCCCTTGTGCAAACACTGGCTTTGCAGCATGAGGTCAACGGGTCCAAAGGGGCTTAACTGAACCAGCCCTCCCACCATGGGCTCTACTGAGCCATTGCCCAACGCTTCCTAAATAATCACTTAAACTGGTTTCTAAAACCCCCTTTCTGTGGAAATGTCACAGCGGCCACCATCAGGCCACTGCCGCCGCCTCTGAGCACAGCTCCTGCCCAGGTTGCTGCTCTGCAGCGCTGGGACAGAGGCAACCCTGCCCCATGGGCACAGCCTGGAGCTCCCTGGCTGGCACCGGCCCTTTGTAAACACCTCCCTTGCTTTGTCCACGCTAATCCTGGTTAGTTTCCTTACCAAGAACATTCCCATGAAGCACCGTTCTTGCGCTGAGCTCACCTGATCGACTCTTCCATTCTTGAAGCAACAGCTTCAACCTCGAGCAGATGCAAACGCTGTTACTTTGTGGTATGGGCACCACTTTGCCAGTGTAGAGCTCCCTGGAGCACAGCCATGCTTCCAAACAAGTGTTACAGACAAACGCTGCTATTTTGACCAGGATCTTGAAAGCCACTCTAGAAGTCAGGTTTATGCACTTACTGGGACACTGTAGGTGCTCCAAATGTTTTATGGATTACGCGGATTAAAATGTAGCTGAGAGGGGGTGAGCCACCAAAACCAGCGTTCCTGCAAGCCTGCGCTGCTCTTCCCTGTTAGAAATAAAGTCAGTGTTTTAAAACCAATGCACTGATTACCTGCCAGCAACCACAATCCAATCCAGTTTAACAGGATGACTAAACCAGCACTGAACTACCCTTATTTCAACCCCATTTTAGAGCTTCTCTGCCCCAGCAGAGCCATGTTTCGGGCTGCTCTTGCATTGCTAATAATGCCACAGTTTAATCTAGTGCTTCCTGGCAGGGCATCTCCAAGCGTTTATACTCATGATGTTCACCTTCTATATAGTCAAAATATGAAAGGACTGGATCCCCTATCCCCAAGGTTCACCCACAGAAGGTTTACACTCCCAAAAGAGCAATCCCATCTACATCCCATCAAGGATCTAATTACTAGAACTCAATGGAAGCATATCAGATACTGAGCTAGTTGCAACCATCTTCATTTATTCACCCCTAAAACCAGAGCAGGTAAATTACACCAGCACCTACAGGAGAACAAGTACAATGAGCTGTGCTGGGGCTGTTCATCACTTCTCTCAGCTCCTCTTTGCACAAGGACACACAGAACAACGCCGGGACTCTGCACCATTAGACTTCAACTGAATCCTGTTTTTTTTCCCCTTCTGCCAGCACCATCTGTTTCTATGGAGTAAACAGCGACTGTAGACAGGTTAAATGCAAGGACATGTTTTAAACAAGACCCATTCTATACCACTTGAAACAAGAACAAAGCAGCTTCCCATACATTTTCCACTAGTTTTGTTCCTTAGCGTTCGTAAAGCTCTGAAAATGTCACAACAAAGAACAGATATTACTTCATTGTGACAGCACCATTCCCCTCGGTGTGTTTATCATGCAGACAAGAAAGTCTGTCCATTTTCCCCTGTTCAATTCTTATTCTTAATTACAAGTACAGAATACAAGTGAAATGGGTGGAAAGCCATGCTTTCCCTTATGTCATTGCACACAAAATGCAAGTTTGTTCAATAGAAGACCATGATTTATTGGCAGTCATTTCGAAACATGGAATACCGAATATAATAAAAAGACACTTGTAAAAAAAAAACCCACAACCCAGGAAAACAAACAAATCTCATCTTTAAATGCATCACTTGAAGGCATTGATCAAGGGGACACCGTGTGCCGGCAGCTCCTGGTGCAACTGACGGAACAACATGGCACATTTGTTCCTTTCCTGGGTCTTGCCTAGGGTGTGGAACAGCCGGGCTTGGAAGTAGAGGACGTCTCTGAGTTGCTCTTTACAGTCCACTTTGGCAAAATAAGTCTTGGCTTCATTTAAATTCAAGATAGCAGATTCCAAAGCTGTGGAAAGAAAGTGGGACAGTCACATTTAAGATAAGATCACCATAACAATTCCAAGTGATACAGCTCAATTCTGAGGAGCCCAATGACAAATTCCTCAGCTTTTCAAAACAATTTGTGTCTTAGCAACATGCTCTTTCAGTTCTGTTATTCAGCCTTTGCTGCAAACCATGGGTGTGAAGGTATGCGGATAAACAAGACTCCACTATAAACATCGTGGCTGTTGAATAACTCATTTTGCTATCTTAAATCTAGGTAACACAACTGCTATATCATTCAGTGTTTTCAATGGTGATTGTGTAGCAAGACCCCAGTCTAATACACTGGGTTGCACTTCTCAGCAAATGTCAGCAAGGAAAATCCCTCTCCACTCTACCTTCAACCTTCTTCTGTGGTGTGTAGGATGCTGCAGAAGCCACCTGACATTTGGCCACCAAGAACATGGCACAGCCTTTGTCCAGGACAGCTCCGTGGGCCAACACAGGTTCTATTGCCATGTGCAGAATATTCAGGGCTTGTTCAGGGATGCCAAGGATCAGCTGAAAGAGAAATACTTGCTGGTCTAATACTGGAATCCACTGGTAAGAGCAGCTTCTTCAGAGAAGAGCAACAGACATCACATCTGCTTCTAACAACAAGTGCACTATAGACAAGGATGTATATTTATGTGTATTTTTCCCCCACAATCTTCTTTTAAATCAAAACTTACTAGGAGAAACAAGCTGCTATTTGAAATGATTAAGCATGGCTTCTCTACCACAGTCAATGCTGACAACCACGTCTCTGCCAGCTCAAAATCAACAATATAACTGAACTCCATTACAAGTGTTATTTTTAATTCAAACACATGCCAAAGTGAGCTACTAGAAAGCCAAAATACCAGCACAAAGAATAACAACTGAAGAAATTAAGGCAGGGGCAATTTATGCTTGCCTGCTTAATTATATGCAATAACTACACATCTTAGTGATACACATGAAACTCAACTTCTATTATCTTCCTCACAAGATCCTACATTTAGAATATACTTCCTCAGAGTCAATAACTCAATTCCAACAAGGCTGCATTCTTAAATCTTGCAGGAGTAAAACCAGTATCCAGATCCCCAGAATAAATGTTGCCCTACAGCCCCGTGAAAACACAACTCAGGCATACCTGGGAGAAAGCCAAGTTCAGCACAGTTTCAGAAGCCAAGTACTGGAGGCTATATTCTCGAGAGAGGGCAAGAGCCTGCAGCAGGACAGGCAAGGCAATGGTATGACATGAAGATCTCCAGTAGAGCTCTGCTATTGACAGGAGTACACTAACCAAAACGGGGAAAGAATTACAAACTTTTCCTTTGATAAAACACCTTCACTTGTTTCTTCGATCCATAATGGTATTGATTTTATTATGAATTACATTACTGCACATACAATAAACTTAAATTACATCCTTAAGATGAGATGCCATTGATATCCAAAAGGATTAAACAACACTGCAACTACTCTGAAGGTCACCACAAAGGTACAACTACCCACATGCATTTCTATTTCCTATTTATTCTGGATGCAGTGTTTCCCTCTTCTTGCGTATGTCTTTATGCAGCTTGAAGTCTACTGCCTTTCAGTTTACATATTTAAAATGACAAGATTCCAATTCCACAATATTTTGAGGATTCCTCCATACCATGATTAATAAATGAAATTATTTTTAAATCTCCAAATCACAGTAGGTAATCTGAAGAGTAGTGAGGTTAGAACACAGGCAAATGGAAATGGCTGATTCTCATCACTGCAAAGTGGCTTTAATACTCTGAAAATACAACATTCTTACCTAATCACCATCTCTGTGTTCTTGATTTTCTGGCAGTGGATCAACAATTTCTGCAAAAGTCTGTGTGCCTCTGACATTTGATTTTGGGCTTTCAAGACAATGGCTTTTCTGCCGTGGTGGAAAGAAAACATCACTGATTGTGGTTTTGTGTTTTAGATACAACTCTGCTCTTCAGAACATAAGTAAAATAGGTGTCTATTGGTGACCCTCTGTTTCTTGTAACTGCAGAATGGTGTTCTGACAAAGTGTACACATGGTGTACATGCTGACGGGGAAAAACAGGCATCTCTGATTCCAGCTGGACAACTCCCAGGCAGAAAGGATCACACTCATACAACAGCTTCAGACAGAAAACAGGGATTGCCAAAACCAAAGGCCAAACAGGCAGCGCATGCAAGCTAGAAAGCACAATTAATTAGCTGTAAGAAAAACAGGTATGAGGTAAAGTAGCTAAAATTGGCTTGAACTAACAAGGATATGGAGCAACCGGGAAAGAGCGAGAACAGGGAAATGAGAAGCAAGTACACAGCAGTAGGGGATGTGTACAAACGCCCTGAACGCAGACACTGAGTAGAACACGTAAAGATCAGGGGAATCACAAAACAGTCCAATTCCAGAAGGACAAACATCAGGTCCCACAGCTTGAATACTGATCTTCTGGCTTACTGGCACTGGTTATGTCTGTAAGTGTTCTGCCTCATCAACAAGAAATTGCTTTTATCAGGAAGTTGGTTTTCAGGCTCTCAAACACCAAGTTTTAACTCTACATATTTCTAACACATCTTTCTCATTTAGGAACAAGAACCCATTAAAGGGAGTGAAAAAACATATTGCTCCATTTCATAGCTGTAGAAACCAGGACA